GTAGTGGCAGTCTACAAACTAGTCAAGGGGGACCAGCAGGCATTGGGAGAGTCCCTGTTCCCCCAAGCAATCCCGGGAGTTACAAGAAACAACAGACACAAGCTAGTGGAGGGTAGTTTCAGGCTAGACATTAGGAAGCGCTATTTCACTGTCAGGACGGCTAGGACCTGGAACCAACTTCCAAAAGAAGTAGTGCTGGCTCCTACCCTGGGGGTCTTTAAAAGGAGGTTGGACGAACATCTGGCCAGGGTCGTTTGACCCCAGTACTCTTTCCTGCCACGGTAGGGGGTCAGACTAGATGATCTCCTCAGGTCCTTTCCGACCCTACCAACTATGAAACTATGAGGAGGCTAGTAAAGCACTGGAACAGGTTACCCAGAGAGGTGGTAGAAACTCCGTCCTTGGAGGTCTTTAAGACCTGGCTAGACAGCCTTGGCTGGGACGGGCTGGGACGATCTAGTTGAGGATGGTCCTGCTTTGAACAGGGGGTTGGACTAGACCTCCTGAGATCTCTCCCAACCCTAATTTTCTATGATTCTATGAAGGCGAAGGGGTGAGGTGCCATGGGGGCTCTACAGCTCGGGGCAAGAGCTGAGAGCAGCTTCCACTGGCGGCATCCTGGCCAGAAGCTCCCCTGCATGCCCGAAGCACTGGAATCTAGCCCTGCCACTGCCTGCTTCTGCCACCTTGCCAGGAAGGAGGCTCTATTGGGATAGACCCCCTGTGACTGCAAGGTTGTCTTCTTGTCCCTCATCCCCTCACAGTCCCAGGCAATGTTTCACTAGGCAGTATCCACTGGTTTCTTGGACTCATTGGTGGGCCTGTGGGTGCTGGCTACTGCATTCTGCTCAGTGACTCCTCCTTGGAGTCCATGTTACTAACCCCCAACCACCACTCCTGCCCTGGCTTGCACATTCCTTTTCTCTAGAATCGGTGGCTGCATAATTAGTGACCCTTTCTCAAGACAAGGGAGAGGGAGGGGAGCAGTTTCTCTGTGGGCTCATGCCCATGCAGCCTGTGTGCATCAAATAAGGCACCTAGCACCTGCATGATCACTGCACACCGTGGAGAATGCACCGGGCTTTGCTGAGCCCAGCTGTGAGCAAAGACGAGTTTTGGGTTTTGACACATGCAATTAGATCGAGGGTTAAAGGTCAGGTTTTTATCTTCAACATGCATAAGACAAGACCCCTGGTTTCCACCTTTCTCATTTCCCCCCACACTTTCTCTCATGTTTCATAGTAACTGGGTTGCGGGGCCTGCCTACTAAAAAGAAGTGAGAGAAACAGGTTGGAGAAAGGAATATTTTTGCAGTGCACTAAATTGCAAGGGCTCGGTACTAAAATAAGTACTGGATTCTCTTTATTTGCCTCCTCATGTCTTTGTCATTAGAATTCACATTTTCAAGGTTTTCCCCACAACCCTGGGACAGAAACTTACTTTTCTAAACAGTGACCTAGTGAGATCCTCACATAATCACTTGACTCGGGGAGATGGAGCTTTAAGAGAAACATCAGATGGCAGATGAATACAGATAAAATAGCAAGAGATGGCAACATTGGTCATGCATGCAATTTCTCCCTGACTTTTTTCTTCAGTGCATTAGAATTTTTTCATCTTGATCCATTAAAAAAAAAAGATTGAAAAAAAAAGCCTGAGCCATGTCTCAGTGATTTCAGTGGAAAATGTCTGGTTGGCTTTTTGGGGAGTTAGAGCAAGCTAGTGCAAGGCTGAACCAGAGCTCTGTAGTAAAGGCCTTAAAGAGAAATTTTTATAAGAGCTCTGGCTCAGGCTTGCACTGATTATTCCTCCAATCTTGCTTGAAAGAATGCCCCACTGAACTGATTATAATGTTACACAGGCAGCATTAGGTCCTCACTGCAGGAACAAATTAACAAGGTTGAGAAAGGCAAAGATGCTAACCCCTCTTCCCTTATCCTTATTTATAGACAAATCTCAGATCGTTAGCAAAATTACTATAAGAAATTATTACAACCTACATGAAAATTGTGTTGTACTGTATATATAAAAGCCCGTTCTGTATTCACTCAAACAGTATGGAGGTGATGAAAAAGTTGCTTAACAGCATATTCATAAATCACAGCATGTTTCCCAGACACTTTATCACACTCAAAACACAGTTTTAAGACAAGGTTTGGCAATTGGCAAGCTGTTGAAACACCTTCCTAGATTTTTGTTCATTGAAGTGAAGCAAAGTCCATTTCCCATCTGATCTCTGGTGACAATCTAGTTTTAACCTGCACCTTTTACATATTCAGTGGTTGCATCTACACAAGACTGACTGCACAGTAGCCTGTGACTACCGTGCAGTAGCGTCGCATGGCAGCAAGCGTGATGTGATGCTACTGCGCAGTAGTTTCGGCCTATTGCGCAGCCAGCATCACAAAAAAGCCATTTGGTGACACTACTGCGCAGTAACTCCAGTTACTGCACAGTCATTTAGTTCTTGTTTATACAAGGCCTAAATGACTGTGCAGTAACAACTGTGCAATCAGTGTCTTGTGTAGATGCAGCCAGTAAGCCTTGGCATTTAAGAATGTGGTATGTCTCCATATCAAGCTGTAACCATCACAGCAGTGTTAGGAAGTTTCTGCCTTTTCCTTCTCCTTGGGTACTCTGCCCATGGTGTAGAACTCTTGGTTTGGACGCATGTCAGTGAAGTGAGCTATACGGTTAGACATGGCAAAAAAAGCAGTGATTGTTCCTATGTCCCAGGCATCTTCCCGATCAAACCCATGTGCCTCCAGCTTTTGGAAGTGTTCTCCAGTTATATTTTCAGCATGACTAACTGCTACAGCAAACTCCAGCATTGCTTTCTCCCGATCACTTAGATCAGCCAGTTGCCAATTCACACCAACCTGTAAGAAAGTCCAATAGATGAGTGTGCATATGTGTGTATGAAGGAAACATGCATTTAGGGATTGTAAACAGCACAACTGGGTCAAAAACTGAAGAACTTGGATTCTACACTTTGTTTCACTAAGGAACTAAGACACACTCCAAATGACATAAGACACATTCTCCCACTGCACCGTGTGTGCAAGGCACTTCCCTCCCCCCGCTCCCCTGCCACCACTACACCACGTAGCACCAGCCCCTGGGAGAGGGAATATAAGGTGGAGGAGGGAGGGGGAGCCCAGAGACACCAGCCTTGGCTGCTGCAACCAGAGCAATGAGGGGGACCAGCAGTTGGGTAGGTGGAAGAAGATTAATCCCTTGCAAGCTGCATGTAGCCTGCGGCCCACCAGTTAGAAACCCATGCTTTAAAGGAGATGTTTTCTTCTAGAAGATATGTTGGTACTATAATGGCACAGTGGCAGCAAAGGGAAAACAAAGAACATCATTTTCTAGAGTTGTGAATGATTTAGGGTCATTGCGTCACTAATTCTGATTTCACTGCCCCAACAGTCAGAAACGCAGAGCCACAACTCCAGCTGTGGGCAGTGGAAACCATAGATAGGTCAGCACTTCTGACAAAAAAAATCAGGGCAAAGCTATTAAGTTATGACATGGGTCAGGAAGATGCAAGCCCACTTGAGAGTTTGGGGATATGCAAAGGCAATTTGCCATCATTTTTGCTCCCTGGCTCTCCAAGCACCAAGCAAAGGTCTAACTTATCTCTATTTGCTGGACTGGTCAATTTTAGGCTTGTGTATGTATCTATCTATTGTTACAGAAGCAGCTTCAAATTTAGTCCTTCAAATTCAGACTTCATAGAAAAGGGCTGGAAAGCACCTTAGGAGATCACCTACTCCAACCCCCTGCTCAAGGCAAGATCATCCCTATCCAAACAATCCCATATAAATGCTTATCTAACCTATTGCTAAAAACTAGAGAAATAACCAGGTCACACAACTATGTTGCCCCAAAACATCCTAACTGGCCACATGTAAAGGATGGGGAGGAGGGCTGTTAATGTCCTGTCACTGAAACCATTGTCAAATATACTCAAGAGATCCAAGGAAGAGAACCATGCAGCTCTTCTTCCTCCCCATTAGAGGAAAGTGATCCCCCCTGTCCCCAAGGCCATGCTGATCTGGCAGTGCAGTAAAATTCTTTCCTGACCCTAAATGTGATCAGCTGCCTGAGCGGGCAATGGGACAACACCCCCTAACCAAGAACCTCTGGGTTTTAGTTCCAGAAGGGCATCAGCATACCCCAGTCAAAATCCCCAGCGCCCCCCCCCGCAAACAAAAAAAACAAAAAAACCAGACATGGGCCATAACAGCAGGGGAAACATGGAAAAAATTCCTTCCTCGCTCAATGTAGCAACCAGCTAAGTTCAGAAGCAAGTAGTGAAAAAACGAACACCCTCTACTCTATTCTGTAACCTGAGAACAGCAAAAAACTCCACACTTCACACCCCTTTCTATGGTCCTTCTCCTCCATAAACTTTTCCCAATTCCTTTAATCTCCTTTTGTAACTAAGCCAGGTGTGGAGCTCTGCTTCATTCTTCTGCTGCTGGGCATTTGTCCTCACCAATATCCATCTGCTCTGGACTAGAGCTAGTCTGATTATCTCCCAGTGATCCATAAGTGGGCAGCTCTTGGACTGTCAAGTGATGCTCTTTGAAGCACATGCTCAGCATAGCTTCTCCTAAAACATCCCTAACCAAGGCTTATTTAATTTCTTATTGAAAATCCCCAAGGAAGGAAATTTCCACAACTTCCCTAGGAAATCTATTCCACTGCCTCACTGTTCTAACAGTGAAGAAAAGCATTCTTTGCTGCAATTTCAAGCCATTGCTATGCGTCTTACTCTTTGTCATGAAATGTGTGCGGCAGGACTGTGGAAATCCAGCTGAGCAGTGCAAGGTGGGGAATGGGATGGCCATGGAAAGGAGACACTACTTTCCCACCAGGCTGCATTGCTTTGTAGTAGATCTATTCAAAACAGTTGAGTGGGTGCGGTTGTGATCAACATGACCAACAGGCCATGTAACTCCACTGAGCAAAACTTCCATACAAGATGGGGAGAGAAGGGGATTTATTTTCTGAACTCCAGAGAGGCCATGCACGTTGTCAGTGCAAAGCCCGAACAGACAGGCTGTCAGGGATGGACCCCCCCCACTATTAATCTTAGAACTTTTCTGCCACTGTAACGCTGGCTGTACCATCACCTTGAGGAAGATTTGCATGGTCAGTGGAGTCATGGGTAGACTAGATAACAACTTAAACCAGCCACTATGTGCAGTTTAAGTTCCATGTGTCAGCTATTAGGAAAGGACAACCCAGTCATGAGCAAAGAAACAGAGGGACATGGTTGGGCAAAGAGAACTGAAGTACAATCCTACTCATGCCCTACTTCATACCCATGTGGGACTGAAACCTTTGACATCTTTAACACCAAGTAAAAAGAGATGCACATACATTTTTCATACCTCAAAGCAGTATGTAAGGCAGGTAAAGCCTCCACCAGCTAGTTCTGATATTCTCAGAAACTAGTTTCTTTAAAAAAAACTCACCTGATCGGCCAATGTTGGCTTTTTAGAGTATATTCGATGCAAAGCCCCATGTGCAGTGACACAGTATGGACATCTGTTAATCATGCTTGTAGCCACAATGATGAGCTCTTTGTCCGCCTTGCTAAGTCTTCCTGAGGGGGAGAAAAAATCTCTAAGGTGACTTTCAACAAGAAACTTTCCTTCTTGTTACAAATATACCCAGGAAAGAAAATATACCCAGGTACTACCAAATAAGAAGTGGTGGAAGATCACCAATTAGCACATACACAGGGATGAAGGAAAGCATGACCAATTTTGTTATACAGGCTTTTTAGGCAGAGAGGGCCAAATCCTGCTGCTTTCACTCAGATGACAGTCTTATTTAAGTTCTGACTAGGTAAGGACTGCAGACTTGGTCCATGGATAATCCTGCAAACACTTAAGCATATGAGTCAAATTACTTATGTGTCCACTTTTCTGGGTGCAATCTGAGTTAAATGATTAAAGAGTTTGAAGAGTTTTCTGAAGCAGTTCATTTTTTATTATAATCTTTCTCTTGGGGGCAAACAGTGTTACAGGGTCTGGTGGCCCAGACAGACTTTGCTGTCAAAAGGGGAAATAAGCAGGAGGCAAAATAGAAAAACTGAGCTTCCTCTGAGGCTGGGGATTCAAGATTATATTTTATAACAAGCAAAATGGTATAGCAATTACTTCCACCAAGCTTCTAGAGAGTGTGGCTTCATTTATAATTCTTGGGAGGAGTTTGAATAGCATGGACAACCTGCTACCAGAGCCTCTTGTTGGTCAAAGACAACCTGGGAATCCAATTTGTGTTCCAATTAATATAAATACAAAACCTGGTAATTTGCATGCATCACAGAATGACAAGGCAGGTTTTAGGACTTCTCTTGGCTCACATTAAGAGCTCATATTCCCTGTTCACCATGACAATTCATAGCAGGAGACTTTGAAAACAGCACTTCATAGATGAAGTGGACAACTCACAGGGCATGTCTACACATTCAGTAATGCGCTGTAATTGGCACTACTGTGCATTAGCACAGATGAACACTTTCTAGGTGACATTTAATGCCCATTAGACTAATGTACCGTACATTAGTGAATTAGCATGGTTTTTGCCAGTGTGGTAGAATTAGCCCAATGGGCAATAAGGATCTTGTGTAGACGCACCCACAGTCAGGTTCTCTGTGGAAGTCAAATACTGTAGAGTTCCATTTTTTATTGAGTTCCTAGCCCTTATGGTGGGGAAGGCAGCTTTCCCAATGCCAGTCAGTACAGATCCATGCCCCTGAGCCCCTGTTGGCTGCTGACAGCTTCCAAAACATCAGCAGTGTGATAAACAAAACTCTCATCAGTCTTACTTTCCCCTGATGCCTTCACAAGCAACATGGGGAACTGGAAGACTGAAATCACGTCAATATTGCATAACTGCTGGAGGGGTTCACTACCATCTTGCAGAGCAGCGAAAAGTAGGAGTTATATATGTTTCTTCAAAATCTGTAGCAAGAAGGTAGGCAGGACAGGACTAGGGAAGACTCTAGGAAGAACTGCTACAGTGAAGCAGTGAGAGAAACTATAGGGAGAGTATTCTTTTCTATAAATAAAGTTCAGTGTTAGCTAATTCTGTGGTATTTTCCAAGAGACATTGGGCCTGCTGCTAGGGAAGGAGGATCCATCTAGAACGGGCTTCATACTTATCAAATAACTACTGGCCGGCAGCTTCTACAAGACATAAAGCGTCAAACAAAGAACAGAGAGAATACCGTGGTGGGAAATGCAGGTATGACCTCACCAAAACACTGCTACCAGATCGTTACAGGCACCCACCCGCCTTCCCTTTGAAACAGACAACTCTTCTGATTTGCCTCTACCCATTACATTTTTCAAGCCTTTTCATAAGTTTCTGATTTTAAGGGAACATCTTCCAAGTAAAATAAAAGAGGACACCCCTATCGCCTCAGCTCACCTCCCACCAAAAATCCAGTGTGCACAGAAGGGTTTTGACAGCAATATTTTCTAAACCATTTCCATGAAGTTTAAAAAGTTATTCACTGCACATGTACCAGCTTAAAGTAGCCTATCCATGTAGCATGAGCAGACTGGCACCTCAATCTTCAATTATAGACGCATTCAAAACACTGTGGAAAAAGTATTACATTATAACAGCTAGTTTGAAACCAGGGCCACCATTGCTAAAAGCCTGAGTCGCTGGACAATACGGGCTGGAAGAAGCAGATGTGAAAGCTTCTTATGCAGATTGGCCAGATCACATTCTGTGAATAGTGTGCTGTCACTGCCTGCTGGGACATGTAGTCTCTACTGACTGCAGAACTTGTAAAATCCAGGGGTCAGGGCTTACATGTTTGCAGCTTCTGAAATCTGGCATTAAGGGCAGTTTCAAAGGGGCTGCACAGTTTACCTGTCTCTTTGTTCATAATGGCATTGTAATAGGCAAAGAATGCTCTGAATTCTTCAGGCCGATGAGACATCACTTTGAACACATTAGGCAAAAATCCAGTCTGTTCAGGGATTAAAGAGAAGAGATGTCAATAGCTGTGAGCTTACTGCAGAGGACACAATACAAATGGGTCAGTGCTAAAAATGCACTCGGGCCTATGCGCCACTTTACTAGCAGCATAATCTGTTGGATCCTGTGGTTATTACAAATAACTAAGAGTGGCAGCAGCCTAGGTGCAGAGGCAGACCTGTTTCTGCTGATTCACCCTGTCAGTCAGACCTAGAGATCCTGTTAGCACCAATCCAGGAGGACAAAAAAGTGCGAGTGTCTTTGGGGTAGAGGTCTCAAGAGATACAGGAGGGGAAAATGTTATAAACAGCCTAGTTCAATAAGGAATTTTCATATCTCTAAAAGCACATGACTGGTAAATTCTACCAGGGGTCACTACAACCATAGCTGGAAGGAGCAGAAGAGCCCATTTCCCAGTTGGAAAAAGCTAAGATGGATGGGTCAAGGCTCTTGTAAAACCTAGCCAAGGTCTTCCTTCACTGAGGTGGCACACAGTACAGGGAGGGAGAAAAGGGAAGCACCATCAGGAAGGTGGTTCTATAGCAGAGGTACTCATCCTTTTTAGATTCAAGGCAACTCTTGTTACACTCAAGGCATTTCTTGGAAAATGCTAGCTCTTAGCTTTCACTTATCTTTTTGACTATGGAAAAATAACAGAGCAAGTCTTCTCTTGCAGAGAACACAGAAAGAACACAGCAGGTCAGAATGTCTTTGACACTATGGATTCCTATTTGAAATCTCTGGATTTATCTTGTGGATGATATGTAGATGTTTGCACACCTAACAGTGCTAATATTGCATGTCACCCTAAAAAGAATCCTGCAACACCCTGCTTGAGAATTACTGTTCTAGGAGTGAGACAGAAAGAACATGCCTGGCTCTGATCCAGGAAAGCCATGAACTCAGAGAGTATGGATCCTCTCCAATGAGAGAGGTTTTCACGGCAGGATCTTCTTACCTTCCTCTCAACTTCCTCCATGAGCTCCACTATATCGAAGGGCATGTCCTTTTTATTAGGTATTGGGTACCTCCCAACTGATCTGGTGGGGTTCTCCTCCTGTGTACTGTATGCATGGCTTGCAGCTACAGCTTGGGTTCTTCCCTGAAGACCTCCCAACAGAAGGAGAGGAAGGGCCTAAACAGAGACAGGGGAAATGTCTGGTTAGCTGGCAGGTTCACTGTTATTCCAGTGGTCTGTGTTCCATGCCTCTGTCCTGATCCTCCCTGAGGAGCCACATATGCCACAGTCACTAGTGCAAAAGAGTGCGAGTCTATCACGGGAAGACTGCATGGTCTACAGCAGTGGTTCTCTACCTTGTTGACCCTGCACCCCACTTCCAGCACCCTGCACAGCCCATGGCTCACTTACCTCTTGACCCACATCTGCTGTCCCATGACCACTCCCCAGGTCCCTGCCCAGTCCCACAGACTTGCACCTTCCTGTTTTTCAGGCAGCAGGGACACCTGAGGTAGTTCTACATATGCTACCTCTGCAACTGAAGCAGCAGACCACATTCACAGAGCAAACAAGCCCATCCACAGCACCAGATGAAGATGCCCAGGCTGCTTCCTGTGCATATGCTAGCACATGTGGTGCAGCCTTGTGCCAGGACCTTTGCAGGAGTTATCAGCTGTCAGTTATCCACTCTCAGGTTCACAAGAGCAGGCCAATCCAAATTACTAGCTTAGGTAACAGACCATCAGACAAGAAGAGCTGGGTTCCATCCCTAGCTCTGCTGCTGCCCTGCTGTATGAAACCCAGGAAGTCACTTGATCTTTCTCAGCCTTTGTTTCCCCTCCCACCCTGCTTAAATGATAAGCTTTCCATGGCAAAGACTGCCTCTCACTATGTTCCTGTAGCATTTCCAGTGCAATGGGGCCTAGCTTTCCACTGGGACCTCTTGGTGATTCTGCGTTAAGACTGACTCTATAATGATGCCTGTGTGCCACCGTCTCTTTTTCCTTTTCCATGTATACTCTGCATGCCTCTGAAGTACAAATAACAGAGTTGTTCTTCCAAATTAATAAAATAACCATACCACTGTAGTAGATTACAAGAAAAAAAGCTATCAAATTATTTACTCAGTCAAAGTGCACAGTGTCAGGGTAGGAGTTAAATTAATTACTAGTAGAAGTGGGCAGAACTCCAATGAGTGGCTTTGGATCCCAAGATGCAATCCTGGTGGTGCCCTGTGCCTGGGACATGCATCATGCCCAATAAAGTGAATTGAATGTTTCCCCCCTTGTGCTTATGATGACACCTGAGTGTTAGAGCCTTTGTCATGCATTACATCAAGGTACCAAGTTATTTCTGGATACTTTTGATTGACATATTTGTGCAATACAGCAAGGGGCTGGCCTGAAAGACTTCTCTGAATAACTAACAACACTAAGGACTCCTCAACTCAGGCTTTTTCTCCTTCTAAATCCATCTTTTTTCCACATGCAGCAGCATCACCATTTTATAAACAGAAAACTGATGGACCAGGGATTAAATCATTTGCCAAGGTCCCTCAGTCAGTGGCAGTGCCAGGAATAAAATGTAGCTTTTCCTGACTTTCTCCCACTGCATACTGACTGTTTTCCCCTTTTCTCTCAGAAAAGAAGGTTAACCGCCTACCCCTGCAGCCTAAAATGTCAACTATTGTCTTCATTATGTAATCCAGAGTTACCCCTATACCCTTGTGGCGATTCACTATTAATCACTGTTTCACTATTAATCACTATTTTGAAATAAACATTAAATTGCTTAGACTGAGTTGGCAGCCTATGGCTGGTGGTTAGATCCAGCACCAGTGGCTCCTGGCTGCATCACCAGACCATGGGAGCATGGGGCCTGTGCTGGTACCCATGTGTGTGTGTGTGTGTGTGTAGGGAGGGACTGTGTGTGTGTGCGTGTTTGTAGAAGGAGTTCCACATGCATACCCCACCATACACATGCACCCCCCTCGCACTGCCATACACACAGACACCCATACCCCCTTACATATCCCAGACACCCTCCCCCACAAACACAGGCCCCTCACAATCCCCATACCCACCCACACCCCACATATCCACACGCACACTCACAGGCTCCCCCATACCCCACATACCCACAACCCCCCACAAACCTATACCCACCCCACCACAATATACAAGAGTAAGACTTCATTTTAAGCACAATCACCTCTATGTACGCTACACAAAAACATGTCATCCAGGGCAGAAATATTTTTTTAAATCAAGTTAATTAATGTTGTAGATACTTGCTTTTTAGAATATAATTTGGTATTTTTCTGCTTCAGAGATGGCAAAACCCTTTGCTGAAAGGACCACTTCCAGGGGGCAAGGGGAGGGACTTCTGGTGGCAAAGGTCAGGGCTTAGGGGGCAGGACTTCTGGTCACAAGATGGTGACCAGAGGCGGGGCACCCCATGTGGCCCTCAACAGCTTGCCAAAATTTGGTTAGTGGCCCTACACCTGAAATAATTGCCCGCCGCTGCTCTAACTCCATGCACAACTCCACAGGCCACCTCCAACCACAATGGACTATGAGGCCCTAACCCAGTCAGCATGGGATGAGTGCTGCTTGCCCATGATCACACACCTAATTTCCATAAAATCAGGAAGGGCAAAATTCTCCCCTGCCTACTGACATTGGAAATACTGCACAATAGGAGTCAGCAACACAGCCCACCAGCCAGATCCAGCCTGTGAAGAGACTGCAGATGGCCCACAGCACGGTGGGGGAGGGAAAAGAAGTGGCTGCACATGGTGGCATGGGCACCTCTCTGCCCTGTGCCATGCCTTCCTCTGTTGCATGCCACTGAACTCCTCTGCCACATCCACCAGGTGTACTCTCTGCCAAGGGGTGCTCTGTCACCCTGTTACTGCAGCCTCCGCTTACCCACACTGCCTAATTCTTCACTCCCTATCATCACTGGTGATGGAAACTGGCAGCAAGGGTAAGCAGAGCACAGAGCAGGGAAGGCTTGAGGACTGCAGAGGGGGGTGTTGCTGCAGAGAGGGGTGTTGTGGAAGGAATCAGCAGCCCGTGGTGGTGACCTGCCATTCTTAAAGGTTGCTGACCCAGAGGTTTCTTAAGGGTTGCTGACTCACGTGCTGCATCCACTAGCCCATGCGCCTGAGGTATTTGCAGCATTGGACTCCTTGTAGCTAACTATTACACTAAGAGACCTTTTTCCATAATGAAAGCCTATAGAAGTCAGAGAAGAAGAAAATGTATCAACCCACTGATCATTTTGTAACCCTCCTGTTACTTTATTTAGGGACCCTACTGGATTGTTTTCAGAAGCAATCCACTTCCAGGGCTTCATTCTTGCTTCTAAAAGTTTCCTTCTCCCATCCCTTGATTCATTCATGGGTTCTAATTTCATTTATTAAAATTAAAAAAAGAGTGAATTTCAGAACAGAATTGAAGCAGGTGGTGGATTATCCTAAATTCATCCCAGCACGGATGTAAAATGGCCCCTAGGCTTCTTGCACATCTCTTGGCAGAAGGGCACTAAGCAGCATCTCCTGCATGGGGGACAGCACAGCCCATGTCTCTGCACTACAATCTATGGCAGTGTCCTGAAGGATGCAGTTGGTTGGCCTCTGATTTGGGCCCCCTTGCAGGGAAGCAGGGAGAGGCCAGGGCAGGGAGCAGCAGGGTAGCTGACAAGGGAATGCAGGTAGGGGAGGGGGCAGCTAAGCCAATCCTCTGAGTGGGGAGCAGAGCTAATAGGCTTATGCTTCTCACTACTCCCCAGGTCCCTTCTCTGGAGAAAATGGTATCCTTGACTCCTTCTTCACAAGACTTTCATGTTTCCTGCTTTCTGGGAGGGGAAGGTAGTGTTAGAAAAGGGAGTCCAGACCTACCACTCATGGGCGGCTGGTGCCTCCCAAGTCAGGGGGGACACCAGATCGCTGATGGGGGGGGAGGGGATCCCCCAGCAGCCGATCAGAAGTGCATTTCTGGTTTCATGGTTGGCACTTCCAGGGGGTGCACAGCCAATTTCAATACACCCACGTGCACCCCCTACGCATTGCCAATGCTGCCACTGTCACCTTGAGGGATGTGGGCCAAGGCCCAGGCCCACCAAGTAACCTACTGGCTTCCCCCAGATGGGGAGGCTACAGAAAAGGTGACAACTGATTACTGGGGACAAATAATAAAAAAAACAGGGACGGGAGTGCTGGTCAAAGGTTAACAACATGAGTGCCAAGGGAAGACAGCACCCAAACTGTAGGGACAGGAGACAGTCCTGGGGCCTTTTGAGGACAGAGTTGGTGCAACAGTAAGGAAGGAAGGAAGGGTGCAACTGGCAGCCACTGGAGCAGAGATTGGTTGCAGCGGGAACGGGCACCAGAGTAAGGGGGATCCCTATTCATTGAATTTGGGGGCCATTTGGACTTGGCCTCCCTCACACTGCAACGCACAGGCACCTCGGGTTCGAAGTGGCACTGCCATGCACTGTGCAGCGCTGGACGGGCGACCGCGGTCTCTGAACACGTACCAATACACGACAGCAGGCACCAAGCCCCAGAATCATGCCCAGCTCCAGGCACAAAACAGCCTTAAAAGCTGGTTTTACATTTAAACACTCCGTCAACCCCGCAGCAGGCAGTGAGGCACGGTAGTCCGGGGGGCAGAGCCGCGTCCCCCTTGATCTGGAGACGGAGGTGAAGCCTAGGCTCCGCAGGCATGCCCTCGCCTTCTCCCCCTGCATGACAGCGGACCTCTCCTCTCCTCACCCCAGCAGTGAGTTCCCCTCCACGGGGCAGAGCCACTTGCAGCATAAGTCACCGGGGGCATCAGCGTGCAGGACCCGGCCGGGCCGGGCCGGACGCCGCGGGCGACTGAGCCATGCCCCAGAGGCCTGAGCACCCCCGGGAAGGGCCGCAGGAGCAGCCAGGCCTGGCCCGGCGGTGGCCCCCACGGCGCCATTCCCCGGCCGGCCGGGTACTCACGGGGGCGGCGGGGCGGCGCGGCCGCAGGAGGCGGCGGAGGAGAAGCCCCTGCATGGCGCGGAAGCTGTGGGCGGGAGGCAGCAGGCGGGGCGGAGCGAGCCCCGCGGGCCGGGCTCCCCGCCCAGCGCTGCCTCCCGGTCACCGGCGTCCTCCAAGCGGGGCTGCGGGGACCTTGCCCCTGGCTTTTCTGGCCATGCCCCTGCTGAGGCTGCAGGGCGAGCGGCGGGGGCAAAGGGGTGGCCCCCGGGGCTGGGCCCTGCCTGCTCGCGCAGGGTGCTGGTTGCAGAGGAGGAAGTGAATGAGGGGCCCGTGAGCTGGAAGGAGGCCCTGTCTGTTATCGCAGGGGTTCTCACTTGAGTTGAAATGTTTTTTCAGCTAAGAAACTTGCCCTAGCCAGGCAGCGGTTCATTAACAGATCAGGATCGGAGTCTGAGCCGACCTTCCTTATGGTTAGTCCACTGGACCGGCCTTATGGTTTGTGTGCTGAACTAGCCACTCTCAGCATCAGGCTGGGAATCCTCCTCCCAGTAAGCACCTCAGGGAAAGACCGCCTGATTATAATTGCCAGAGGCCCCCTCGCTGAGACCCCTGAACAAAGCCATACCATCTCCCAGCAGGTGAAGACTCTACGGCCAGAAATATTTTGGGTGGGTTTCCTAGGAGCACTTCAAGAAATCCTGCCTCTTCTTTCTCTGCCGGCCCCTTCCCTTCCGACATGATTTGCAACACATTTCAGAGTGATTGAAGTGGTGGGGAGAGAAGGCAAGAAAACATCCCAGACCGTTTGTTAGCTCCATGTGCGGATCCAGTTCAATCTGTTTGTGGCACTATGGCTTCAAGTTGGGATTTGTCTTTTGGCAACTCAGGTTGTCCCACCTGATAGGGTTGTGTGACCCACCTGATAGGGGTGCATTCTGTGTTTAAAAGTTTACATGAAAGAGCTTCTTACTACGTAAGAAACAAGCAGGAAGAATTGGGAGTCCTCGCACAGTCCCAGAACTATGACGTGATTGCAATAATGGAGACTCAGTGGGAGCTCGCATGATGGGACATGGTCATGGATGGGGATAAACTGCTCAGGAAGGACAGGCAGGGGAGAAGAGGAGGAGATGTTGTGCTGTATATAAAACAGCTCTATGATTGCTCACAGCTCCAGTATGAAACTGGAAATAAACCTGTTGAAAGTCTCTGGATTAAGGTCAGAGGGGAGAGCAACAAGGGTGATGTCGTGGTGGGTGTGTGCTGTAGACCACCAGACCAGGAGGACGAGGTAGATGAGACTTTCTTTAGACAACTAGCAGAAGTTTCCAGGCCTGGGTTTCATGGGGGATTTCAGTCACTCTGACATCTGGGGGAGCAATACAGCAGTACACAGGAAATCTAGGAAGCTTTTGGAAAGCATTGGGGATATCTTCATGGTGCTAGTGTTGGAGAGACTGACTACGAGCCCCGGTCTTGACCTGCTGCTCACAACTAGGGAAGAATTGGTGGGAGATGTAGAAGTGGATGGCAATTTGAGCAGCAGTGACCATGAGATGATTAAGTTCAGGTTCCTGACAAAAGAAAGAAATGAGAGCAGCAGAGTATGGATCCTGGACTTCAGAATTCATAGATTTCATAGATATTCGGGCTGGAAGGGACCCCAAAGGATCATCCTGCCTAGGGGCAGGAAGTCAGCAGGGATCATAGGATCCCAGCAAGATAAACATCCAAATGTGTCTTGAAGGTGTTCAAAGTGGGTGCTTGAACCACCTCCAGTGGCAGTCTATTCCAAACCTTGGGGGCTCAGACAGTAAAGAAGTTCTTCCTTATATCCAGCTTGAACCGGTTGCAGAGGAGTTTGTGACCATTCAATCTTGTCATCCCTTGGGGCACTCTGGTGAACAGACATTCCCCCAGATCCTGGTGAACACCCCTGATAAACTTATAGGTGGCCACCGGATCACCCCTGAGCCTGCGCTTTTCCAGTTTGAAGAGTCCCATGGCTCTCAGCCTCTCATCATAAGGTCTGTTTTCCTGACCTCTGATCATGCGTGTGGCTCTCCTCTGCACCCTCTCAAGCTTCTCCACATCCTTTTTGAATTGTGGAGCCCAAAACTGGATGCAGTACTCCACCTGTGGCCTCACCAAGGATGAGTACAATGGGAGAATGACGTCCTGGGATTTGCTTGAGAAGCATCTATGGATTCAAGCCAGTGTTTTGTTCGCTTTACTAGCCACAGCATCACACTGAAGGCTCATGTTCATCTTGTGGTCAGTTATGACCCCCAAGTCCCTTTCATCTGAAGTGCTAATCAGTGTAACACTGCCGAGCCTATAAGGATGCTGCGGGTTTTTCTTCCCAAGGTGGAGAACCTTGCATTTTTTGGTGTTAAACACCATCAGGTTTTCGTCCGCCCATTTCATGAGCCTGTTAGGATCTGTCTGGATCAACCTCCTGTCCTCAGGTGTGGATGCTTTACCCCAGAGTTTGGTGTCGTCGGCGAACTTGGCCAGCCTGCTTCTGACACCAATGTCTACATCATTGATAAAGATGTTAAAAAGTATAGGTTCTAGGACAGAGCCTTGAGGGACCCCACTAGTCACAGCGCACCACAACGATTGACTTCCATCAACCACCACCCTCTGGGTCCTACCATGAAGCCAATTCCCCAGCCAGCGGATCGTGGTGTGGTCGAGGCGATCGTGGGATACCAGATTGAAGGCTTTTTTAAAGTTGAAATATATGACATCAATCTCTTCCCCCTTGTCCAGGTGATAGGTCACCTGATCGTAAAAGGAAATGAGATTGGTCAAACAAGACCTACCCGCAACAACCCGTGCTGGGTATCCCTCAGGATATTGCTGTCAGCTAGTCTGTTAAGGATGGCCTCTTTGATCATTTTTTCCAAGACCTTCCCTAGGAGAGAAGTCAGGCTGATGGGCCTGTAGTTTGCCAGATCTACTTTCCTCCCTTTTTTGAAGATAGGCACCACATTGGCCGTCTTCCAATCTTCGGGCACTTCACCAGAGCACCAGGAGTTTTCAAAGATCTGTGCCAGGGGCTGAGCTATGATGCTTGCCAGCTCCTTGAGTACCTTGGGGTGTAACCCATCAGAGCCGGCTGACTTGAAGGTATCCAGCCTGTCAAGGTGTTCCTTCACGAGGTCAGCTTCGATGGAGGGGCAGGAATCTCCCTCACCCAGGCCTCCCTGACCCACAGTGGGCAGGGGCGTCCCATGGGACTGGTGAAAAACTGACGCAAAGTACCCATTTAGCAAATTCGCTTTTTTCTGGGCATTGGTTGTCAGTTGTCCCGTCTGGTTTAGCAGGGGTCCAATATTACCCTTGCTTTTCCTCTGGCCCCCCACATATCTAAAAAAGGACTTTTTATTGTCCTTGATATTTGTAGCTAGTTGGAGTTCCATCGCAGCCTTGGCTTTCCTGGTTTGCTTTCTGCAGGTCCAGGCCACTGCAGAGTATTCTTCCTTGGTGGTGGTTCCAGCCCTCCATCCTCTGTAGGTCTTCCTTTTAAGATGCAGGAGGTCCGCTAGTTCCCTGGAGAGACAAGGGGGCTGCTGTGCCCTTTGCTGCCTTTCCTCCAAGATGGGATAGACTTTGCTTGTGCATCCAGGATTGCTCCCTTGAGGAGCAGCCACTTGTCTTGAACTCCCCTCCCCTTTGGAAAAGCAGCCTTTGACTCCCTCAGACAACTGAGGGGCACAATCCCCTGGGAAGCCAGTCTGAGAGGGAAAGGAGTCCAGAAAAGCTGGCTGTATTATAAAGAAACCTTACTGAGGGCACAGGAATGAACCATCCCAGTGTGCAGAAGGAATAGCAAATAAGACAGGTGATGAGCTTGACTTAGCAGAGAACTCTTCATTGAATTTAAACAGAAAAAGGAAGCTTACAAGTGGAAACTTGGACAGATAATTAGGAAAGAGTATAAGAATGTTGCTTGGGCATGCAGGGGTAAAAGCAGAAAGGCCAAAGCACAACTGGAGTTGCAGCTAGCAAGGGGCATAAAAGGTAACAAGAAGGGTTTCTACAAGTGTTACCAACAAGAGGAAGATCAGGGAAAGTGTGGGTCTCTTACTAAATGGGGAGACAACCTAGTGACAGATGAGGGGGAAAAGGCTGAAGTACTCAAAACCTTTTTTACCTCGGTATTCAAAGGGGAGGTCAACTCTAGACTACTGCACTGGGCAGCACAGTTTGGAGAGGAGGTGAACAGCCCTCAGTGGTGAAAGAACAAGTTAGGGACTATTAAGAAAAGCTAACATGTACAAGTCCATGGCACTGGATGCGATGCATCCAAGGGTGCTGAAGGACTTGGCTGATGTGATTGCAAAGCCACTGGTCATTATCTTTGAAAACTCGTGGTGATCTGGGAAAATCCCAGATGATTGGAAAAGGGCAAATATAGTGCCCATCTTTAAGTAAGGGAAGAAGGAAGATCCAGGGAACTACTGACCATTCATCCTCACCTCAGTCCCCAGAAAAATCATGGAGCAGGTCCTCAAGTAATCCATTTCTAAGCACCTGGAGAAGAAGAAAGTGATCAGGAGCAGTCAGCGTGCAGTCACCAATGGCAAATCGTGCCTGAACAACCTGATTGCCTTCTATCATGAGATAACGGGCACTGGGTGTGAAGAAATCCCCCTCTGTCCACCCCTTCTTGGGCCAGTCCAGCTACACCTCTGTCTCTTTTACCTGTTTGCTTTCCAGTACAACGTGGTCACCCAGGTGACCAGGTTAGATAAATTCCTGAGGGGAGGGGAAGCTCGCTCTCTTCCTCT